TTTAAGAAACATGCCAGTGCTGTGGCATGTCAGATAAAGCTACCACCTGCAATGCTGGCATCCCATATGGTGCCAGTTCAAGTCCCAGCTGTTCCACTTTCAATCCAGCTCTTTGCTATGGCCTGGGAAAGCAGCAGAAGATGGCCCAAGTCCCTGGGCCCCTGCACCTGCATGGAGACTTGGAAGAAGCCCTTGGCTCCTGCCTTCGAATCAGGCCAGCTCCGGCCGTTAAGGTCAACTGGGGAGTGAACCAGTGGATGGAAACCTCTCTCTCTCTGCCTCTCTTTCTCTGTGTAACTCAGACTTTCAAATAAACAAATAAATCTTTAAAAAAAAAAAAGAAAAGAAATATATAATTATTCATTTGGAAGACAAGAGTGACATATGTGTGTGTATATATATATATAGAGAGAGAGAGAGAGAGAGAAAGAGAGAGAGAGAGATTGGTTGATCTGCAATGGCCAGAGCTGGGCCAGGCCAAAGCTAGGAGCCAGGAATTCTATCTTAATCTCCTAAGTGGATGGCAGGGACCCAAATACTTAGGCCTCCTCCACTGGGGAGCTGGATCAGAATTGGAGTAGCCAGGACTTAAATAGCCATCTGATATGGTATGCCCAATCACAGGTGACAACTTAGCCTCTGTTCTACTACTCTGGCCCCAATTTTATAAAACTTTTACATGAAGGCTTGCATCTGTGTTTGAAGAGTATGGCCATTAGCATTGAATAATTGTTAAAAGTCTAGTTGATTCTACTTAAGAACCTTATTTAGTGTTTTCCTTTAAATATTATCCATACATGACTGCAGAGAGCACATTAGTCAAATGATTACCCAAAACCACCCTATGATTATTTTATTGCTGCCTTTAAAAAACCTAGAAGCAGATGACAAACAAGAACTTCACTCCTGGTTTTTAAAAAGCATGTAACCACTGTGTTAAGACATTTATTTACTTTAAGCCATTATCCAGTTTTTAGCATGAATATAAAACCCCATACACAACCTAATTTCTTCCAAAATAACTCATGTCCTTCTACTTTTAGCAAGATTTATTTATTTTGTCACTGGTACTAATTATATAAATTTAGATGTGACTGGCCATTTGTATCTGAGTACACCAGATTCCAGGGGCAAGGCAGCAAAGACATAGGCTTTGTGTGAAGATTTATGTAAGTATTTGTGTGTTCTTCCACTTACAGGCGTGTGGAATTAGATTATTTGTCTTTCTATAATGTGAGTATTTCTGGTGGCTAAAGCCTCCATCTTTTAATTCATTGTGGTTTACAATTAGGACTGTTCTGATCCTGTCCTTTCCTTTTCCTCCACCACTGGCTCTGCTTTTATGAAAGACCCTTCCCTCAGCCTGTGTTTCATTATCTGGAAGCATAGTTCATATGTGAAAGGAAAACACGTGCCTGACCCCTTCCCTTTGTCGACCAGTTATTAAGGTGATGAATTAATTCCCATTTGCCCCCCATGTGACCAAGTCTTCCTTTTAAAAATACTACAGACTCATGATATTAAACATAACTGGTAGATTTCATACACTGTAATTATTATCACAACTGAAGTCTAAAGGGTCCCATCTTTGGCCAGGGAGCCTGATCAAGTTGGCTCTTAGGTCCTTTCGACATGACTGTAGCAGTCTTTGATAGCTGATTTGTGTCTTTTGTGACAAGATGCTCCAGGTTCATCTTTGTGTGTTTCCTGTCCTAGAACTGGAGGAAGCTCTAGTTTCTTTTGGTGAGAATTATGTGTAAGACTCCAGTAGGGGGCTAGGGGTGCTTATTGCTATAAGGTTGGTCTTTTTTTCCTAATCCTTTTCAATGGATGAAGCTAATATACCCATCCACACAAAGATAAAATACTTTGAGTTCATGTTTATACTTATAATTCTAAAATACTTTTCCATTACATCTCAGTCCTCTTTCTTCCTCACTGAACATCCTGCTGTTTGATACAGTGATGAAAAAAATGATAAAAATCTGTATATATGATGATTACTGAGTGACTTTATCTATTGCATTCTCCTCAGTCCCAAATAATAATATTCCCACTGATGTGATCAAGAAAGGCTAGATTTGTTGCAAATGCACTCCCTATTCTCTCTCCACTTTCTGATGTTGTATTTCGTCTGCAGTAGTGGAGCATCCATGCTCTTCTCTCCCTCTTGTCCTCATTTGGTCTTACATTTATAGTAACTGTGTATCACTATTCCTCACCAGGCCTTGTGTCTGTATTGTCTGAAGCTTGTTCTCTAGTGCTTTCCTAAGAAGAGTTCATGGAATATCAATCCCTGAGGTTCTACGTTTTGTATCTGAATCAATTGTATTTACGTTAGTTTTGCTGGTCACAAAAGCCTCAACTTGTGCTTTTTTTTTTCTTAATTTGAAATTTTCTTCTGGCCTACCACTTGCCGTTGAGAAATCTGATGTTTGTTTCTTCTAGATTTCCAAAGTATTCTTTTTCTTTGAAGTCCAGTAATTACACCAGAACATTTTGATATTTGGGTTGACTAGCTGTTTTCTTTGATTTCATGAGCACTTTCTTGAACTCTGGAATGGAGTATCCTGTTTCCTTGTCTTGGTCTTCTTTTTCAGGCGTTCTTATCTATAAACTGTCTGCCTACCTCCAGTATTTGTCACGTTCTCTTGCATCTCAGTTTTGGAAATCACGCGTGCTAGATTGTTCTGTCCTAGTTAGAGCAACTAGCTAGTTAGTCTTAGTTGTAGGCCTCTTGTACTCAACTGATACTGGAGAGAGCAAAGCTCCTCAATTCAGCTGATGCTTTCACACTGGCAGCTGTGCTTCCTGGGAGACTCTGTTTGGCAGTTTTGAAGTTGTCCTGTCCTGAGGTCTGCTGGATGCGGCTTCTGGAGTGTTTTTTCTCCTGGCCTCGTAGACACTCCTCTGTGGGCCTTCTGGCGTTCTGGTGGTTGTGGAGATACCTTGTTGTGTAGTTTTGTTGCAGATATTGGCAGTGGGTTTTCAGGTTTGCTATCTAGTTTTTGTCTATTTGTAAGTGGGAATTTGAAGAGTTTAAGAACTGTGCTGCTGCTGCTGTCTTCCCAGGATGCCCTATAACTCTGTGTGTGTGTGTGTGTGTGTGTGTGTATTTACAGTTTATTTGCACTGATTCAAATCAATTGATATATCTTTTATGATCTGTAGGTTAACTACTTTATACCCAAACCTCTCTTTCTTCCTTTATTTTCCCTTCAGTTGAAATAATCATATTATTATCCTGAACGGAAATCCTAAAGATTCTGCTGTTGCATCCTGTAGTGTAGTTCACTGTGTTCATCTGCTGTCCTCTGTACTTCTTCAAACTGGCCCTTGGATCTGGAGTCTTGATCAGATTTAGTCTCCATGATAAATGTGTTTGTTTTTATATATAAATATAAAGCTCGCAGATTGGGAAAGTTCAAGGAAAGAAAACAGTACAGAAACAGAAGTACTGTAGTGAAGAATTTCAGTTGCTAAGTTGGCTTTCAGGAATAGGCACAATGTATAGAAATAGAGATAAAAATAGTGGTTGTTGGGACTGGGGGCAGGGAGTGGAATAATGGGGAGTGACTCCTGGCGGGTATAGGGTTTCTTTATGGTATGAAGAAATTAAGATTATGCTAATGGCTAAATAAAATCCTAAAAAGCATTATTATACTTGAAGAGAGTAGCTGGGAGCCAGCCCTGTGGCATAGTGGGTAAAGCCTCTATCTTCAGTGCCAGCATCCTGTATGAACCCTGATTCAAGACCTGGCTGCTCCATATCCAATCCAGCTTGCTGCTATGGCCTGGGAAAGCAGTAGAAGATGGCCCAAACGCTTAGGCCCCTGCACCCACATGGGAGACCCGGAAGAAGCTCTTGGCTCCTGGCTTCGGATTGGCCCAGCTCTGGCTGTTGTGACCATTTGGGGAGTGAACCCACAGATGGTTCACTTTTGTCATCTGTCAGCATTTGCGTGTTTACTGCTGCTGACTCTCCTGCCTGGAGAGCCTTCCTGACTTCCTTCCCCTGGCTTTTTTTCTGTGAGTGGGTGGGGGGCAGGTTCCCTGGCCAGGAGTCTGACCCCTTCACCTGACTCACTCCTTGTTCAGGACCCCCATTCAGCAGGTCTCCTTCCTCCACATTGCGGGGAAAGTCCTTCTTCCATTTCCTGTAGAACGCTGTGAACAACTTTAATTTGGCATTTACCTTCTTATGTTGGAATTACCTGTCTGGAGCCCCAGAAAATTTTGGTGATTAAGTTAGCCATGTTTGGCATACTTAAAGACTTAGGTCCAATATTAATACTAATTACAGCTGATAAAAAATTCAGTAGAAAAAATTGAATAGGGAAATAAAGCGAAATAGTGATAATTGAAGTTCATGGGGAAAACTATAATATATAGATACAAAAAGATGACTATTACCTGGTACATAAGCTCTACAAGGCTAGGCATTTTGTCTTTCTTCACTGATATATATTCCTAGTGCCTGTAACAATGCTTGGTGCTAATAGCCTTAAGAACATAGAAGTTTAAAAACATTTTACTCGGCACAGGCAGCAGGATATGTGCAGCAGGATATGCGACTGCTCGGGACACCCACATTCCTTATCAAACTATCTGGGATGGACTTCCACCTCTGCTTCTGCTTCCTATCTAGCTTACTGCGGATGCCTACCCTGAGATGGCTCAAGTGCTCAAGGTCCTGCTACCCACATTGGAGACCATGATGGTATTCCTGGCTCGTAGCTTTGGCTTGGCCCAGCCCTAGCTGTTCAGGGCATTGAGGGAGAGAACCTATGGATGGAACATCTCTATTTCTCTCTCTCTTTCTCCCTCTCTCACCCTGTGCCTTTTGAATAAACAAATAAACTTGGGGGGGAAAAAGAACTTCACTCTTCTCGGTTTAAATCATGACCTCTCAAAGCACAAATCAGTATCTTGCATGATCTTGTAGAATTTTGTAAAGGAAGTCTAATGAGTAATGAAGTAGATCTTTTTTCTTCTTCTAGTAAACGGAGTAAAAAAGGAGATAAAAATGGAAAAGGCTTGAGACATTTCTCAATGAAAGTGTGTGAGAAAGTTCAGCGGAAAGGTACAACATCGTATAATGAGGTAGCTGATGAGCTGGTGTCAGAGTTCACCAATTCAAATAACCATTTGGCAGCTGATTCGGTAAGTAAATAATGAACTTGACCTTGATGACGATGAGCGATGCTGCAATTTACCTTTTTGATTTCTCTGTGTCACGATTTGAGATTGAGATGAGCAACAGAGTCTTCACCTTCCCCTTGACTTTGAGGGTTTTGTACTATCTAGTGGGGGATGTTTGTTGTAAAAGTTGTGGAAGGAATTTTTACTTAAACAAAAATGGATGCAATTTGGGAGGCTATTGAAGAAGCATATTTTTACAAGTAGTCATTTGTCCAGTGGCTTTATATATATGTGTGTGTATATGTGTGTGTGTGTGTATGTGTATTTTTTTTTTTTTTTGACAGGCAGAGTTAGAGAGACAGAAAGTTCTTCCTTCTGTTGGTTCACCCCCCAAATGGCCACTATAGCCGGCGCTGTGCCGATCCGAAGCCAAGACCCAGGTGCTTCCTCCTGGTCTACCATGCAGGTGCAGGGCCCAAGTACTTGGGCCATCCTCCACTGCCTTCCCGGGCCACAGCAGAGAGCTGGACTGGAAAAGGAGCAACTGGGACAGAATCCAGCGCCCCAACTGGGACTAGAACCCGGGGTGCCGGCGCCACAGGTGGAGGATTAGCGTAGTGAGCCGCGGCGCTGGCCAATATATATTTTTGAATCTTACTGTTTCTTTAATGTCTAAGTCAATAGCAGTTTTATTTTTAATTGTTAATATAGGAGTATAATTATTAAAATTTCAGTTATATAAGAGTATATAATTTTTTAAAAAATTGTTAATAGTTTCTTAAATAAATCATCCCAGAAATTCTGTAGGTATGCACAGGATAAATTTTCTTTTAAGATTTATGTATTTATGTAAAAGGCAGAGTTAGAATGAGGCGGGGAGAGAGCGAGCGAGATCAAGCAAGTGAGTGAGCTTCCATCCACTGGTTCACTCTCCAGATGGCTGTACCAGTCAGGATTAAGCCAGGCTGAAACCAGAGCCGGGAGCTTCTTCCTGGTCTAGGGCTCTAAGGATTTGGGCCATCTCCTGCTGCTTTCTCAGGCCGTTATTAGGGAGCTGGATCAGAAGTGGAGCAGTAATCTTCTGATCCAGCTTTCTGTTGATGGTTTGGGAAAGCAGTGAAGATGGCCCACATACTTGGGCCCTTACACCTGCGTGGGAGACTCTGAAGAAGCTCCTGGCTCCTGGCTTTGGATTGGCTCAGCTCCAGCTGTTGCAGCCATTTGGGGAGTGAACCAGTGGGTGTGAAAGACCTTTCTCTCTGTCTTTCCCCATCTTTGTCTATAACTCTACTTCTCAAATAAATCAATAAAATCTTAAAAAAAAAAAAAAAAAATTAATACGCCTCCCTATAGGGGAGGCCTTGTTGTGCTGGCATCCCATATGGGCTCTGGTTTGTGTAAAATAAATAAATAAATAAGAATTGGAGCAGCTAAGACACAAACCAGTGCCCATATGAGATGTTGGCATTGCAGTGGTGGCTTAACCTGCTGTACCACACCACCAGCCCCAAAGACTGTTCCTTTTTAGTGCATGGAAGTCATCCTCATGTTTCTCAGTTGAGATAAAATTGGGAAAGGAAAACATACGTGTCTTAAGTGTGCAGTTGAATTCTTGTTTCCTCGTTGATGAACAGGTTGCTTACACAGATGTATTCAGGTATAAAATTGATGAGTTTTGCACCCTCAAAGTCAGCATCTCAGCTGACAGAGCACTTCCTTCACCCCGAGGCTCTGTGTGCCTTTGACTCCCTCCTTCCCTCTGCTTCCATCTCCAAGCAAGTACTGATCTGCTTTTTGTGACTACAGAGCAGTCCACATCTTAATTTTTTTTATCTTTAAGTTTTTTTCATTTATTTTAAGATTTATTTATTTATCTGAAAGGCAGAGTTACAGAGCGGGGGGGTGTCTTCCATTCGCTGGTTCACTCCCCAAATGGCCACAATGGCCAGACTGAGCCAAGCCCGAGCCAGGAGCCAGGAGCTAGGAGCCAGGAGTCTCTTCTGGGTCTTCCACATGGGTGCAGGAGTCCAAGTACTTGGGCCATCCTCTGTTGCTTTCCAAAGCACTTAAACAGGGAGCTGGATCAGAAGTAGAGTAACTAGGACTCGAACCAGCACCCATATGGCATGCCAGCACTGGAGTAAGGGGCTTTTACCTGCTGCGCCACAGCGCTGTCTCCAGTCCACATCTCATTTAAATGTAATCATATGTTCTTCCCAGAAATATTAAATAGTAACAACTAATTATTTGAGGTCTTAATATAAATATTTATAGTATGGGATCAAAAAGTCCATAGAATCTGAAATTAAAAGATCGATTTGTTTTGGTGTAAAATTTTTTGGAAATCCCTATGTAGTTTTTCCATAATATGTATTTTCATGAATTTTTAGGAAAAGATTTATTTTGAGAAGCAGAGTTAGAGAGGAAGAAAGCTTCCATCCACTAGTTCATTCCCCAAATTGTCGCAACATCTGGAACTGGGCCACACAGGACCCAGGAGCTTCATCCAGGTCTCCTACGTGGGTGCAGGGGGCACCAAGCACTTAGACCATCTTCTGCTGCTTTCCTGGGCTTATTAGCATGGAAATCGAACAGCCAGGACTACTCGAACTGGTGCCCATATGTGATGCCGGTGTTACAGGTGGCTTAACCCACTGCATCAGAACACTGGCCCATCCATGGATTTTTTTTTTTTTTTTTTAGGTTTATTTATTGGGGCCGGTGCTGTGGTGTAGGTGTTAAAGCTGCTGACTGCAGTGCTGGCATCCCATATGGGCACTGGTTTGAGTCCCAGCTGCTCCACTTCCTATCCAGCTCCCTGCTATGGCCTGGGAAAGTAGCAGAAGATGATCCAAGTTCTTGGGTCTCTGCGCCTGCCTGGGAGACCCAGAAGAAGCTTCTGGCTCCTGGGTTTGGATCAGCACCATTTTGGCCATTGTGGCCAGTTGGGGAGTGAACCAGCAGATGGAAGACCTCTCTCTCTCTCTCTCTCTGTAACTCTGACTTTCAAATAAAATAAATAATTCTATTTTGAAGATTTTATTTATTTGAGAGAAAGCTCCTATCTGCTAGTCTACTCCCAAGGGGAAGGGTGGGGCTTGACACTCAGTCCAGGTCTCCCCAGGGAGCAGACACCCAGCCCTCTGAACTTTGGATGACCCTTCAAACTGATGGGTTTCCCTTTGCACCAAGATCAACTTAACCTTGCAATTCTGGCTTCTCCAGTAACTTTTTGAAGTACTCTTCTACATCAGCATGGTTTTTTCATTAAGAAAGTCTTGCAGCCGGTGCCGCGGCTCAGTAGGCTAATCCTCCGCCTTGCGGCACCGGCACACTGGGTTCTAGTCCCGGTCGGGGCACCAGATCTGTCCCGGTTGCCCCTCTTCCAGGCCAGCTCTCTGCTGTGGCCCGGGAGGGCAGTGGAGGATGGCCCAAGTGCTTGGGCCCTGCACCCCATGTGAGACCAGGAGAAGCACCTGGCTCCTGCCTTTGGATAGGCGCGGTGTGCCAGCCGCAGCAGCCAACGGCAAAGGAAGACCTTTCTCTCTGTCTCTCTCTCACTGTCCACTCTGCCTGTCAAAAAAGAAAAAAGAAAGTCTTGCTACCAAAACTAATTTTAAAAGATGAGCCGAACTAAAGCTTGGGCCTGGTGCACTGTAGTTCGGTTTCCATACAAGTCCTTACTCTGGGCAAGCTGCATGACCAGCTCTCCTCTGGTCCGTGGAGGGCCACATGAGGTACATTGCACCTGGGACTTGAAACCTGTATTCTTGCCTTTTTAAAAGGCTGCAACCCTCCCAAAAACAGAACACTGCCTACCTCTGCCCCTTTCCGATACGTAAACTCTTGGCCTGTGTATTCTTTGTATGTGCTAGACCCCCTAGGCATGGTCTTTATTTTATACAGCAGTAATTTTTTTTTTACACTTGACAGGGTGATGGTATAGCAGAACATAAATGCACAGAGAATGAGTATCATTCACAGTATCTTTAGATAAACTGCCTTTGAGTGGGAACTTCCTTCCCAGTACTTTGAGGCCTACAGGATGAATCTAGAAAATTTACTACTGGGGGAAATGAAGACTGCTTAAACCAAACAGGGGCGGCAGAGCCCGTGGCTGTGCCCTCTGATTGGCGGCTCAGGGAGCTCCAGTTCTCTGCAGGCACCTTGATGTTCATGTTAATTTTTGTTAAAATCATACAAAGAGGGGTGCTTCTGGGTATTCAGGTGCGCATTGTATTTTAAGGCTGTACCTCTGGTTTCTGGTTTTCGTACACTGTTCTTGGAGGCCCAGTTATCATCCCTGTCCATCTTGCAAGTGTCATGTCTCCGTCACCCTCTAGACCCCAGGTGACTGTGACACCTCCTCCTGCTTTCTGGCCTTCTTCGAGTTCTTCCAATAGTCAGGAAATGCAAGGGATGTTCATTCCTGAGCCGTGGTGACTGCCATCCTGGTCATCTATTCTGTGCAGTAATAATTGAGATTTGCTCTCATGCTTACCTGGCCAATGGGTCTTCATTCTGTCCCCCATCTGCAAGCTCCCATCTTAGATGATCTTCTTCCACCTGAAGAAATCCCTTTAGTACTTTATAATACAGATCTACTGCTAACATAATCCTTAGGGTTAGAGCTCTTTCCGCACTTTGAAAGTATCAGAATATCGGGGTCGGCGCTGTGGCTCACTTGGTTAATCCTCTGCCTGCAGTGCCGGCATCCCATATGGGCACTGGTTGTGTCCCGGTTGATCCTCTTCCAGTCCAGCTCTCTGCTGTGGCCTGGGAAGGCAGTGGAGGATGGCCCAAGTGCTTGGGTGCCTGCACCCACATGGGAGACCAGGAGGAAGCACCTGGCTCCTGGCTTCAGATCGGCGCAGCGCGCTGGCCTGTAGCAGCCATTTGGGGGATGAACCAACGGAAGGAAGACCTTTCTCTCTGTCTCTCTCTCTCTCACTGTCTGTAACTCTACCTGTCCAAAAAAAAAAAAAAAAGTATCTGAATATTATTAATTTAATATGTTGATATCATGTGACTGTATTTTAACCATAACATTTATCACTCAATAAAAATGTTTTTTAGCAGGCTTACGATCAGAAGAACATTAGGCGAAGAGTTTATGATGCTTTAAATGTGCTAATGGCGATGAACATAATTTCAAAGGAAAAAAAAGAAATTAAGTGGCTCGGGCTGCCCACCAACTCTGCCCAGGAGTGTCAGAACCTGGAGGTGAGCGAGCAGGCCCCCGCCTGTTTGTGGGTGATTGCTTGCATTATTTTACATCGGATACATTTTAGTTTAGACATATAATCACATAAAATTGAAATAGTCGCAGTTCTTAAATATGACATCATTTTTCCAATGGACTCTCACTTTAGAATTCGGAACTGGAAGGAACAGTAGCAGTATACTCAGCAGTCTTGTCAGTGATGACACTAAGGGATAGGAAAGTTAAATGACTTAAAGTGATTCTTGCTGTTTCTTAGAGAAGGTCTTTTTTTTTTTTATTCTAATTCTGAGTACTCTACTAATTTTGGTGAACTGTGTACTAGAAATACCACCTTAATTTTATGAAAGGCTTGCTGTGTGGATCAGAAGAAAAGGATCAAGCCGCATGTTTATTTCTGTGTTCCTCTAAAGGTAGCTGTGAAAGCTAACCTTTCACCCTTGGCTCTGAAATCAGTAGCAACAGAATGGTATTTCATTTGTGTCTTTATCAGGATGGACAGTGTTCAACGTAAAGGAACTTTGGAGTAATGTGGGCAAAACATCTTTAGTTCTGCTAACCTTGCCCATTGTAGAAATTCATCCCTAAGTGAGCATGTCCCCTGACATATTGTTTCTAAATCTGTTTATTGTCGTGAATTGGAGTAAACTAAGCTTAAATTTGGGTTTTAGAGATAATTAAGGTTGACTTTTTTTTTTTTTTTTTTTGGTCTTTCTCATTCCCTTTCCCCGGGGAGAAGCCAGGCTCTCATCGAAAGTTGTAGAATAACGTTATTCACACACTGGAGTGACAAGGCCCTTCTTTTTATTCCTCCTAACATAGTAGAATTTGAACATAACTTTCGTATCAGTAACGTTCTGCTGAATCCAGAGGCTCAGCAGGTGAAGATCCGTCATTGTGCACCTCGTGCTCAGCCCCAGGTTCCACCCCAGGACCTGTCGCTGTGCTTTTAGAGAGGAGTGTCCGAGAGTTCCCAGAGTGTGGTTACTCCTAGGAAAGAGGCTACAGGGGAGTAACCCCTGTGCCGGGTCACGAGGGAGGGGCAGGAGTGGAGGGTGCCCATGGAGAAGGGGAGGCGCTGGGTGGTGTAGGACAGGCCTTGACAGCCCAGGCCATGTCTGGCCGAGAGTGGGCGTGGAGAAGGGTCAGATTTTCAGTGCTGGGCAGGGTGGCCCTGATGCCGTAATGTTGGGAAACGGTTGGTAATAGGATGTTTTACAGGACGTGTCTCAGTGTGGGCTGGAGGTGAAGTTAAAGGGAGATGGGGAAAGAGAAGGGGCAGGGAGGAAGCCAGTGGCTGGTCGGGGTTAGGGCAGTGTCAGTGGGGTTAGAGGCAGGGACAGTGCGGCTTGGCCTGGCTGGATGTGGGCGGGTGGAGGCTTGGCCTGGATGAACTCCCGCACGATGTTCTTCAAGGGTGGACAGCCTGAGATTTCACAGTGAAGCTTGGTGTTAAGGTGGTGAGGGGGAGCATGGGCAGAAGTTCCTAAGTAGGTGGGGAACAAGTAAGAAGCAATCTGGGGGGTAGACCCCCAAAAAGATGTTATTTGATATCTCAAAAGACAGAATTTCAGCAAATTTAGTTAAGATTTGAATTGGAATTTTTTTTCCCCCTGGGGATTCCAGGGTTGGGCAGCACCCTGTTCTGTAAAACACAGTAACTGCTGTGGTGAGCTGGCAGAGCAGGCTGGCCGTACGGGCAAAACAGGGCTGAAGAGATGCAAGGCAGAGCGGTGTGGGTCGGCCCTTCTCACGGGAAGCACAGGGGCCCTGTCAGGCCCACTGGAACCGGCCTGTCCAGGGCAGCTCTTACCTCCCCCTCTTCTGGTCTCCCCGAGAGTCAAAGTAACGCTGTGGTCTGGGCTCAGTGCCCAGACGTTAGCGCCAGGGACTCCACTGTGGTGGGGTCTTTTGGGCCTGGTGCAGGAGCTCAGTCGAAACCAATGACCTCCTGTAGATTTTACTTGACAGAAGGCTTTGACGTCTGCTCAGGAAAGACATCAACTGCAAGGAACTTCAGACCCCTTCTGGTTGCTTTCTAGGTCATTGTAGAATAGAGAAAGAACGCTAGTTGCTTCCAGCTGGGAAGTGTGCCATGCGTGTTTCTCACTGCACACAGGACTTTGTGTTGCACATGTGTGGTGACGAGGTTAGCAGTCCCACTCATTGGGGGCTCAAGTAGGCCACGATCGGCGAGATCTTGCCTCATTCCTGGGGTAGTGTGACCGCATGAGCTGAGTGCTGGCTGCTTTGACTAGAACGTGAGTGATAACGGCAACAGGTACTACCAGCCAAGTGTTCAGCGAACACTTGAATTTCATTTCTAAAGACAGTTGCCATATTTCTACTGGGGTGCCTGCTTTCTCATCCCAAATCCACGTCCCTAAAGATGGGTAAAATGGGTTGCGTTTCTCTAAGGAAAATTCTTGCTGTGTCAGAAATAGGGACGTGAAAAGTGAGCAGTCCTTTATGCTCTCCCCGGGTCTGTGTTTTGTAACCTTTACAGATAGAGAAGCAAAGGCGGATAGAGCGGATAAAACAGAAGCGGGCCCAGCTGCAGGAGCTCCTCCTACAGGTAAAGATGCCGGGTTTGTGTTTTCCTTACCCGCCCTGCCTGTCCGGCTGCTTCTCCACCTACGTGGGTTCAGAGTGGCTGATCTCTGACTGTGGTCTTCGCTAGTGTCTGGGGGACCACACCAGGGCGCCCGCCTCCTCCCCTTGCTGCCTGCATCCTGCTCTCTGCCTTTGTGGTGGCCTCATCTCTGCCCCTCCCTCCAGTGGCACTGTAGGTGGCACTGCACTTCGGACCTTATCCTCACTCCAAACGTAAACCAAAGTTCAGGGGTCTTTTTCTGTTTATCTTCGCCCTGGTTTGGAATATAAAATGGTAAGGCTACTTTAATTGTATGTACTTTAAGTAAAATAATCAAATCTACCTGTAGTACTTAAGGTTCAAAAAGATTTATAAAAAGAACAAAACTTAAAATGCATTTCTGCTTAAGAAAAGCCTTATAGGGGCCGGCGCTGTGACGCAGCGGGTTAACACCCTGGCCTGGAGTGCCGGCATCCTGTATCGGCACCGGTTCGAGACCCAGCTGCTTCACTTCTGATCCAGCTCTCTGATGTGGCCTGGGAAAGCAGTGGAGGATGGCCCAGGTCATTGTGCCTCTGAACCCGCGTGGGAGACCTGGAGGAAGCTCCTGGCTCCTGGCTTCGGATCGGCGCGGCTTTGGATCTGTGCAGCTCCGGCTGTTGCAGCCAATTGAGGAGTGCACCAGCGGGTGAAAGACATCTCTCTCTGCCTCTCCTCTCTCTGTGTAACTCTTTCAAATAAATAAATAAATCTAAAAAAAAAAAAAAAAAAAAAAAAAAAAAAACCTTATAGTTTTATAGGATTCTTATATTTCTACTTTTTGGATAACTGCCTAGAATTTGGATAAATTTCTAAAGTGTAATAGAGCTTTTATATAAATTCACGTGAAAGCTGGCATTGTGATGTAGTGATTAAAGCTACCACCTGGGACACGAGTATCCCATATGGGTGCCAGTTCAAGTCCTGCTGCTCCACTTCTGATCCAGCTCCCTGCTAATGCACCTGGGAAAGCAGCGGAGGATGGCCCAAGTCCTTAGGAGGGAGCTCTTGACTCCTGGCTTCAGATTGGCCCAGCTCCAGCTGTTGTAGCCATTTGGGGAATGAACCAGCAGATGGAAGATCTCTCTCTTTAACTCTGCCTTTCAAAAAAAAAAAAAAAATCATGTGAAGTAAAATTATAGGGTAGAGGGTTTTTTTTTTTTCTCTATTTGATAATTGCAATTGGTATAAAAATGAACTTTGGAAAATGAACCAGAGGAAGTTGCTATTTCTGATTTCCTCAGCAAAATGTCTTTATATGAATAATTTTGCTACCAATCAGCAAATCCACTTTGATTTGAACAAATGTAGATCCTTTTCAATTTTGGGTTTAATGTACTTCCTTTTTCCTCCTGATAGAGAGACAAACCTTCCATCCCCTGGTTCACTCCCTAATGCCTGGGAGCTGGGGGTTCCGTCCCGGTCCCCCACATTGGGGGCAGGGACCCGTGTGCTTGAGTCATCGCCTGTGGCCTTCCAGGGTGCACTTTGGTAGGAAGCTGAATTCAAGAGCAAAGCCAGGATGAGTCCCAGGCACCTCTGTGCAGGCTACAGGCATCCCCCAAGCAGCAGTTTAACTGCTGTGCCAAGCACCCACCCCTAATCCACTGTTCAAAAGTAGGGGTGAGTTACCAAATACCGTAGCAGACTTTTTTTCTTCAATACTCCACTGCTGACGAGGTTATGTTGTGGTCATAAGTATTCCAGGTGATTCTTTCTCACTTTATGGCTGCATATGTTTGAGGTTTTTTTTTTTTTTTTTTTTTACTCAGTGACTTGCTTTGGTGTAGTTACATGTAGAAATCAGGTAGGAGATGGCAGCACCAGAGATCAGTGATGTGAGCCTGGGAAGGAGGCAGAGAAGCAAGGCGAGGGCAGAGACTGTGACGCGGGAAGCCCAGGGACAACGTCTAGTCCTGGTCAAAGCATTTCCCGCTGGCTGTGCTCTGGGTCCAGTTTTCATGCTGAGCCCCAGGAGGTCTGCCTCAGGAGCTGCCACTGCAACCCTGCTAACATTTTTGCTTTTTAGGTATATTTCATAGTGATTTTCCAAACATGAGTTTTTGTTTTTTTATTTGACAGGTAGAGTTTCTAGACAGTGAGAGAGACAGTGAGAAAGGTCTTCCTTCCGTTGGTTCACCTCCCAAATGGCCGCTACGGCTGGTGCGCTGAGCCAATCCAAAGCCAGGAGCCAGGTGCTTCCTCCTGGTCTCCTTTGCGGGTGCAGGGGCCCAAGCACTTGGGCCGTCCTCCACTGCCTTCCCCAGCCACAGCAGAGAGCTAGACTGAAAGAGGAGTAACTGGGACTAGAACCCGGCGCCCATATGGGATGCCCGTGCCACAGGTGGAGGATTAACCAAGTGAGCCACGGCACTGGCCCCAGGTTTTTTGTTTTAAATATTTATTTATTTGAAAGAGTTACAGAGAGAGAGAGAGAAAGAGAGAGATCTTTCATCCTCTAGTTCGCTCTCTAAATGATTGCAACAACCTGGGCTGGACCAGGCCACAGCCAGGAGCCTGAAACTCCATCCAGGTCTCCCAGGCACCTGGGCCATCTTCCGCTGCTTTCCCTGGCACATTAGCAGGGAGCTGGATCAGAAGTGGAGCAGTCAGGACTCAAACCCAGAACTCATGTGGGATGCTGGTGTCACAGGCAGCTGCTTAACCCCCTACACCACAACAGGTCCCCCAGATATGTTTTATTTGAAAGAGCGTACTACACCCTTTCAGAAGTACAGTAGAAACCCAGCACTGCACTCTGCTCCTGCTCTGCTCCTGCCCTGCCTCCAGGCACCGTCCACTGCCCTGAACTGCACCTCAGCTGCAGTAGTTCCCTACTGGTGTACAGTCCCTAAACTGCCTGAGGGTTCCTCGGACCTCTGTGGCACATCCTGGAGCTTGAGTTTTGGCCCAGGGTTTCAAAAGCCCATTGATCAGCAAACCCACGAGTGTCGTGTGTCTGTGGGAAAGCAGGCGGGCAGGATCACCCTCCCAGAGGTGGGACCTGCACTTCTGCAAGGGCCCACACGACCGGTGCAGTGGAGTGTTTTCACTGCTGATCTTTGGACAGGGAATATTGTATTTTTTAAGACCCAGATTTCTTTTCCTCTGCTGTGTCTTAAGCCAAATGTTTATGGAAGATTCCAACCCCAGAGTCCGCCTAGCTGGCAGCATTTACAGAAACAGATCACTGAGATGAAGTCCAAAGTAAAACTGAAGTCCACGACTTCTGGTAGACATACAGCTTATCTCCTCTGAAAGTTTTGATTTCTTTCTTTTATCAAATAACATTTATGAAGTTATCTTAGAAAGCAGATTAAACTGGGCTGGCGTTGTGGTGTAGCAGGTAAAGCCACCACCTGTGGCACCAGCATCCCTTATGGACACTAGTATGTGTTCCGGCTGCTACACTTTTTTTTTTTTTTAACTTATTTATTTATTTGAAAGACAGAGTTACAGAGAGGCAGAGGCAGAGAGAGAATGAAAGAATGAATGAGTGAATGGTCTTCCATCTGCTGGTTCATTCCCCAAGTGGCCATAATGGCGGGAACTGGGCTGATCTGAAACCAGGAGCCAGAGGCTTCTTCCAGGTCTCCCCACACAGGTGCAGGGGCCTAAGGATTTGGGCCATCTTCTCTGCTTGTTTCCCAGGCCATAGCAGAGAGTTGGATCGGAAGTGGAGCAGCCAGGTCTCGAACCGGTGCCCACATGGGTTGCCGGCACTGCAGGCTTTACATGCTAAGCCACAGTGCTGGCCCCAGGTTGTTCCACTTTTGACACAGTTCCCTGCTCATGGCCTAGGAAAAGCAGCAGAAGATGGCCCAAGTGCTTGGGCCCCTGCCACCCATGTAGGGGACCCAGAAAAAGGTCCTGGCTCCTGGTTTTGGCCTGGCCGCTGGCCATTGCAGTCATCTGTGGAGTGAACCAGCAGGTGGAAAATTATGTCTCTCTGTCTCTGTCTTTCCCTCTAATTTGCTGTGGACAAGGTAGCTTGACTTTTTTTTTTTTTTTTTCCTTAAGATTCGTTTATTTATTTGAAAGGCAGAGTTATAGAGAGAGAAAAGGTGAGACAGAGATATCTTCCATTTGCTGGTTTAATCCCTAAATGGCTGCAAAGACCAGGTCTGGGCTAGGCTGAAGCCGGGAGCCAGGAGCTGCTTCCAGTCTCCCACATGGTGGCAGAGGCCAAAACATTTGTGCCACCCTCTGTTGCTTTCCCAGGTACATTAGCAGGAAGCTGGATTGGAAATGGAGCAGTGGGGACTCGAACTGTGCCCATATGAGATGCTGGCACTTCGGAAGGCAGCTTAACCCACCGTGCCACACCACTGATCCCTGATTATTATGATTTTAAAATAAGCTGATGTCACAACTCAGTGGTGTCACATCACCTGTCTTTTTAAATTTTTATTATTTTTTAATTAATTGGTTTTTTTTTGTTGTTGTTTGTTTGTTTTTAAAGAGAGAGACAGAGACAGAGAAAGGACTTCTATTAGCTAGTTCACTTCCCAAATGCTCCCAACAACTTGGAGATGGACCAGGCCAAAACCTGAAGCCTAAAACTCAAGCTGGCCTTGTCGTGTGGGTGGCAGAGACCCAAGAACTCAAGCTTTCACCTGTTGCCTCTCATGATGTCCTTAGCAAGAAGATGGATTGGGAATATGGAACTCAATCCCAAGTGGCGACGTAACCATTGTGCCACACACTCATCCCTGATGCTTCTTCTTAGTACCAATACAATGTTGCATTTTTATTGCTCTCTTCACCTGAAAACAAAACAAAAAACCAAATCTCTCAAGCTATGAAGTGCACCCAGCATGAAGCAGGGTGTTGTAATGATGTAAGAACTCTTCTTCATCACCATGTATACGTTGCGTACGCTGAGGCCCTCCCATGACCCAGGGCCACAAAGCCAGGCAAAGTCTAGGAGCACTTTCAAAGATGAGCATTCCAGTAGATGGGAAGAGAGGCCAGGGAGAAGCTCTTTTTCTTGAGTTTGCCATTTCAGCACATTTCCCCTTAATACTGAGTGAATTAAGACATGAATATAAACTAGCCTTAGTTCTTAAGAAACAGAAAATAACAAAGTTAAGAGAGCTTAAGTAATAGTTTATAATGATACTGATATTGATTTTTTTTTGTTGTTAGTGGTTTTTGGAAACACTTCTTAGTATTAGAATAAATTGTACATTCTGGTTTATTAATAGAGACAGGGTTCACTTTCTACAGAGACAGTACCTCGCCATTTTGAGATAATAGTCGTTTTAACCAAACTTTAGTTAAGGCCCAGGATCTACAATAAACAGTCCTGAGCATAAGGTTACTAAGCAGCAGAAAATAACTTGAATTCATGGTGACAGAGAGAGGCTGCGTTACAAGCTAGTGAAAGGGGTGAACAGCCTTGACTCTGTGAGCTTGTGAAACCATTACCTGTCTCATGAGCAGATGCAGTACCTGGGCTGGGCGAGGTCTTACTGTGACGTTTTACGATGCTTTTGCCTTTTTAAAGGGTGTGTGCAGGGGCAGGCCTTTGGCATAGTGGTTGACACACTGTTTGAGGTGCCCAAGTCCCATTTCAGGATGTCTGGGTTTGAGCCATCTCCACTTCTTTCCTGTTCCATCTTCCTGCTGAGGTACACCCTAGCAGATGATAATATTTCAAGAACTTGGGTCCCTGCTGCCCACCTGGAAGACTTGGATTGAGTTTGGGGCTCCTAGCTTTGGCCTGGCCCAACCTCGGCAGTTACAGGGAGTTGGAAAATGAATCAGCAGATGGAAGACCTTGCTGGGTCTGTCTGTCTTTTTGCCTTTCAGATAACTTTTTAAAAGGAGGGGGTTGCTTTCTTTGGCTTTTGAGTAACTAAAAATTGGAGCAAAATTCAGAATAAAGATTCAGACCTTAGGGCTAGTATTGTGCAGCCTGCCACCTGTGATGCCGGCATTACACGTGAGCACCTCCAGTTCCAATCCTGGCTGCTCCACTTCCAATCCAGCTCCCTACCTAATGTCTGGGAAAACAGCAGAAGACGGCTCAAGTGCTTGGATCCCTACTACCTGCGTGAGAGACCTGGATGGAGTTCCAGGCTCCTGGCTTTGGCCTGGCCCAGCCTCAGCCATTGTGGCGATGTAGGGAGTGAGCCAGCACGCGGAAGAGCTCTGTGTGTCTTCCCTGCCGGTGAAGCTCTGCCATTACATTTAAAACAGACCAGAGAACGATTCCGGCATTCATCTGTCTTCATCTGGCAGACATCAGGCAGGAGGAGGCTTGGACTGGATTCCAGGCCGCGCCCTCGTGCCCTGTGGGTGCTGAGAAGCTCGGTGGCGGTGTCCTAGCACCACTGTGGCAGTTAGTGGAGGTGGCACTGGCATGGCACCAGCCCCAGCCCCTGGAGCAAGCCAGAGCAAACCCACGTCCTTCTGTTTTATACAGTGAGGGTCCAGTGAAAAAAAATTTTTTTTAATTTGGAAATAAAAGGTTCTTTGGCTTTGAAACATTTGCCTTTCCCAGGTCTAGATGATCTAAAACCCCGTCAGCCTGTGTTAGGTCAGTGGAGAAGATGAACTCCCTTGGTGTGCCCCTGAGAAGAGCTGCAGCTGCCACGTGGCTCTCTGCCACGTTGGTGAGATCCTGATCCTGTGGGTGTTGGAAACCACGGGCCCTGTTACTGACATCAGGACCTCAGGCAGCATGTAGGTGCCTCGGAATGTATTTGTTGTTGAGTGGGATCATTCCAATCCGTATGTAGAAATGCTTAATTTTTAATTAATTCCTTCATACAGGTGGGCTGCTTCTTTAAATTTTCGAGTGCTATTTTGCATGCCCTGTGTTAATTCATTTAAAACTCTAACTCACTTGTCCATATTACATTACAGTATTTTTTCTTTTGATCATTACAGCAAATCGCTTTTAAAAACTTGGTGCAAAGGAATCGGCGGAGCGAACAGCAGAACCAGGGCCCTCCAGCGCAGAACTCCACCATTCAGCTGCCGTTTATAATCATCAACACAAGCAAGAAGACAGTGATAGACTGCAGCATCTCCAGTGACAAGTGAGTGGGGATGTGGGGGCACGCAGGCCTGGCCCCCTGCGGGCGTGCTGTCCTCACGTGCACTCTGTCGGCCGCAGCCCCCCGAGGCTGCCCTGCCTGGGGTGCACAAATCGCCTCCTCAAGCCTAGGAGCCTTCTCCACGGCCACGCTGTCACGCGCCCTCCTCGGTCCCCTGTCCTGTCCAGGCACTGTGCTGCCTGAGTGACAGGCGAGGCCCGGCCTGGGCCCCAGCTGCGATGCATTTCCTGTGTGCAGTGGGTGAGAGCATCGCTGAGGGGCTGTGCCGAGGTGGGGTCCTGATTGCGTCCTGGCATAGTTCATTGTGCTCCTGTGTTTGCCATGTCGCTGTTGTGTGTTCCTGGGTACGAACGGATGGACATGAACATGCTAGGCACATTCTCTGCCTTTTACTTTATTTATTTCACATTTTTAACTACGATTGATATAACATTAATCTACATCATAGCAAGTTCGAAGTAGCACTTTTCAAATGCAGCATTACTTTGTCCCTCGTGGAACGTCTTGGCTGTTCCCAGTATCTTGAGAGGGTGAAGAGTGTGTACGGCGTGGGGTGGGCCTGGCCCTTGTGTGGCTTGCGCCTCCCACGCTGCCTGCTCCGAAGCTCCACTTCTCAAGAACTGACGGGAGTGATAGCAGAGCTTCCGTCGCCTTAGCCTTGTTGTGAGGCTGCAGTTGGACGATGCTTGAGGAGTCTCACTGGGGGCAGACACTTCACAGACGTCAGCTGCTGTGACAGCGGTCCGGGCTGCCTGGACGCCTGCGTGGTGTCTACTGTCTTGTCTTTTCTTTCTTTCTTTTTTTTAATTCTTTTAAAAGTTGATTATAAACCAGTTTTGCAGGTCACAAGGAAATAAAAGGACCATGTACAGCCTTACAGGAAACTGAAACTATTTTTTACTGTGTATGGACACATAGCCTCAATCACCAAGCATTTTAAAATTTATTTATTTCTTTTAAAATGTATGTGAAAGACACAGGGGCAGGTTCAGCCCGGAGGTCCATAAGTCTGAATTATTATTCATATCCTTGCAGTTTCTTTGCAAAGAAGTTCTAAAAGGACTGTTAACAATTCTCATTCAACTGAGAATTCTAGAAAATGGTTGACATCTTTTTTGAGGAAAAAATCCCCAAACTTGGCATTTTTAGTTAGTCTCTTTCAAATTAGTCTTGTTTTGTAGGGGAATTAATAATTCATATCTTCAGTTGTTTAAGTCTAAAAAAGGTATCAGGAAAACCTGGGACCCTTGACACACAAGATTATGGCAGCATGCCCCGAGGCTGGGGCCTGACAAGGGTTCTGTCTCTCCGGGCCACTGGCCCAGCCCTTTCCCAGCCTTCCTTGAGCGTACGGAAGGCATTCCTGAGCAGTAAACCTGTTCCTCAAACTGGGTCCCAAACCCTGGCTCTCAGTTTGGGGAGGCAGTCTTTCCTCTTATTGGCCAGGAGACTTTTCCCACAGGGAGGATTGAGTTTATAAAACCTTCTGCTGGGGGCCAGCACTGTAGCTCAGCTGGTTAAGCCCCTGCCTATGGCGCCGGCATCCCGTATGGACGCCATTGAGACCCGGCTGCTCCCCTTCCCATGCAGTAACGGAGGATGTCCCGAGTGCTTGGGCCCCTGCCCCCACTTGGGAGACCCTGAGGAAGCTCCTGGCTCAGTTGGTGTTGCAGCCATTTGGGGATCTCTCACTGTCACTCTCCTCTGTAACTCTGTCTTTCAAATAAATAAGTAAATCTCTTAAAAAAGAAAGAAAAACCATCTGCTTGTGACAGATGCCTGAAACCATCCCTGAAGTAGGCATCTACTGTGGATATTTTTTGTTCAAAAAAACTTGCTAGTGTACTTTATTCAAATCCACGTATTTCAGGACTTTCTGATTCAAGTTGTCTTTTTTTTTTTTTTTTTTTTTTTTTTTTTGGACAGGCAGAGTGGATAGTGAGAGAGAGAGACAGAGAGAAAGGTCTTCCTTTGCCGTTGGTTCACCCTCCAATGGCCGCCACGGCTGGCGCACTGCAGCCGGCGCACCGCGCTGATCTGAAGGCAGGAGCCAGGTGCTTCCCCTGGTCTCCCATGGGATGCAGGGCCCAAGCACTTGGGCCATCCTCCACTGCCTTCCCGGGTCACAGCAGAGAGCTGGACTGGAAGAGGGGCAACCGGGACTAGAACCCGGTGTGCCAGCGCCGCAAGGCGGAGGATGAGCCTATTGAGCCGTGGCACCGGCCTTCAAGTTGTCATTTTTATACTGATATAACATAAAGTGTTTCACCCTCCCATGATTTTAGTATGATTTGAGGACAAGGTGAGAATCCCCAGTCTGGAGCTTCCCCTGAACTCTGTCCCTGTGGTCGGGCCTTGGGTGAAGGTGCCGGAGGCCCAGTGGTGGACTCAGTGGCCGTGCCCTCTGCAGGCCCCTCTGTGTGGAAGGGTTGTGCTGGGCAGGTGAGCAGCGGGATTGAGGAGTTTGCAATGGCAATGTCTATGACACTTTTTCTTAAGATTTTGCACTCCTTAGCCTACCAAGTTAGGATTCATGGGTGCTTCAGTTTGGTAAGTCTTCCATATATTGCCCAGCTGAAGTATCCTGTATGGGTGGGTATTTGGCCCAGCAGTTGAGATGCCAGCCACGCTGCCTGTGTCTCACATCAGATTGCTTGGGTTTGAATCCTGACTCTGACTCCTGACTCCGGCTTCCTGCTAGTGCAGTCTCTGGGAGATGTAGTGGGGTCTCTGCCATTCATGTGCTAACTTTGAGTTTCTGGTTCTGGCTTTCTCTGCTTCAAATGAAAGAATAAATGAATGAATGAATGGATAAAATGCTGTATCCGGCGCCGCAGCTCACTAGGCTAATCCTCTGCCTTGTGGCGCCGGCACACCGGGTTCTAGTCCCGGTTGGGGCGCTGGAGTCTGTCCCGGTTGCCCCTTTTCCAGGCCAGCTCTCTGCTGTGGCCAGGGAGTGCAATGGAGGATGGCCCAAGTACTTGGGCCCTGCACCCCATGGGAGGCCAGGATAAGTACCTGGCTCCTGCCATCGGATCAACGCGGTGCGCCGGCCGCGGCAGCCATTGGAGGGTGAACCAACGGCAAAGGAAGACCTTTCTCTCTGTCTCTCTCTCTCACTGTCCACTCTGCCTGTCAAAAATAAAAAAAATAAAAATAAAATGCTGTAGGTAACACTGAGTCACGAACATGAAGTAAGCATTCAAAATGTTATATTTTTTCTTGAAGCGGATAAGCCAATTCACAGTCCAAATATCATTCGTTAAACTAGAAAGACTTCTTGTGTGGCAAAGCTGTAGACCATTTTGAAATGTATTGCATTCAGAATAAAACTTTTGATTCCTGCATGCAACAGCATTAGGGCTAAAGTTTATGTCTCGGGAAAGTTGTTTTAATTGGAAAAGCGCTTTCTGTGAGATGTCATTCCCCGAGCACTGCACAATGACTCATTGCTCCAAATGCTGACAGTTCTGGCCCTGTAGCTGAACTTAGGCCCTCGTTCTCTTGTTTAAAGTAGCTTGTACAAAACTATTCAGAGCTCTCCAGTACTAGCAGCGACCGCATACCGACTTTGTTTCCTGATGCAGGTTTGAGTATCTTTTCAATTTTGACAACACCTTTGAGATCCATGACGACATAGAAGTGCTGAAGCGGATGGGCATGTCCTTTGGCCTGGAGTCTGGCAAATGCTCTCTGGAGGATCTGAAACTTGCAAAATCTCTGGTGCCAAAGGCTTTGGAAGGCTACGTCACAGGTATGGTAACAGGCTCACACACCTACTCCCTGTCAAACCCCAACCTGTTCAAGCTTCTCCCATAGGAAACGGCAGAATTTTGGAAAATCTGTTCTTATGTCCCCAAATTGAGACTTTTAACCCCTTACTGAATACATTTAGGACTCCTCCCACCCACCCACCCCAAATTAGAATAAATAGGTTGTTTTCCTGACATTGGGAACTTCCACCTGTGTAGTACAGCATGCGTTACGGAGATCTAAACTGGCTGACTCATTACTGAGTTTGGCTCCCCAGTGATATCTTTATCTGTTCTTCCCAGCAGTCGGCCTAGAGCCTGGGCAGGGGAGAGCGCTCAGTAAGTGCTTGATGGAGTTTGTGAACATCCTTTCTGAGTGCCCTCTGGACCCTTCCAGGGCCACCTGGGCAGTCTGCAAGAGGAAGTAGGTGCCCCTCCGTCCTGCTCTCTGGGCTCCTTTGTTTTCTGTATTGTCTTTCTCTACATAAAAGTCAAAATAGAAAGTTTCAGCGCCAGAAAAACAAGGCCAGGACATGGTGACTAGAGCCTCGTGCTTTTCTTTTAGAGAAACAAGCAAATATGGTAACTGAAAGCAATTTGTTATTGAGGTTTGCCCACTTCTTACCTTTATATGAATGGAATCAGAGATACATTCTTTGGTGATTGGATTTTTTCTTCAACATTATGTTCTTTGAATCCATCCAAGTGATTTCATGTGGCTGTTCATTCACACAGTTCTACTTCCCAAGACCACTGCAGTATTTGACTAAAAGCACAGCTTATTCATTTTATTGATAATAAACCTTTAATTTGTTCCTAAGTACTTGGTGTTAAAATCCTAAAAAGGCTGCTTTGAATATTCCTGTAATGTGCCCTGGTGCCTGCCCATGTGCAAATGTATGAATTGAAATTGTTGGGTTGGAGTTGTATGTGTCTTCAGCTTTCCTAGGCAGTGTCAGAATCTCAGTATTCTTTCTATCAAATTACACTCTCACACACAAAGTATTCTGTTTTCTCAGGTAAGTCTGAAATGGCATCATCGCCATTTTTTAAATAGAGACTTAATTCACATACCATCAAATATGCCGTTTTAAAATGTACAATCCAGTGATGTTTTCCTGTGTTCACAGGGTTGGACAGCCACCGCCACTATCTAATTCTCGAATTATACCCCTCCGAAAAGAAACTCCACACCCATAAGCAGTCACTCCCTTGGCACCCACCAGTGTGCTTTCTGCCACTGTAGATTTGTTTCTGTGGGTTTCGTATGAATGGAATTTACAGGCTGTGAGCTTTGCGTATGTCTTCATTCACTGAGCATGACGATTTCAAGGCTTGTCCTGGCTGCAGTGTGTATCGGCTCCTTATTTTTTATTACCGAGTAGCGTTCCGTTGGGTGGCAATCCCACGCTTTGTGTATGCATTCAGTTGTCAGTGGGCAGACATTTGGGTTGTTCCAGTTTGGAGTTACTTCCACTGATGTTGCTTATACAAGTTCTCACGTGAACATGTGTTCAGTTCTGTTGGGCAAATACCTAGGAAATGCCCTACTGCTTTGCATGTCACAGTATTGCCAGCAATGTGTGAGGGTTCTAGTTTCTTAGTGTACTTCGCACTGGTTGCTTGGGCTGTCTTCAGTGATGCGTCCTGGTGGCTGTGAAGTGCTGTCTCACTGTGGATGTGCTTTCCCTGGTGACGGAGGGTGTGGAGCATCTTGTCATGTGCTAATGTCCACTTGAATACCGTCCTTGAAGACCTGTCTCTTCAGATCTTTGCCTTCTTTTTGAGTTACTTAGTAGAGAGTCTACAAGTATGGTTGAAAATAGAAACACCATGTTTTGCATGTTCTGTCATTGAGATACTTTTCACTAATTCAGAAGTCTTCAGAATTGTTCTGATTCCTGACACTGCCATGTACCCTGCAGATATAATTTGAACATATACATTTTTTTGCCTTTGTTTTTTCCTGTTTCCTTCATATGTAAGTCCTGCCACTTAGAGTTTCACCTCATTTTTTAAGACCATCTTAATATTAGTTCTAAGTTGTATTAAATATAAGCAGAAAGGTAGCTTTCATTTTGTTTTGTTTTATGGCTTTGGCCCTTTGCTTACACAGAAGAGTCTGTTGGTTGAGCTCTGGTTTCTGTTGGATTTCATCCTTAAATTGGCACCGTCCACCTCCTACAAATGTGACCCCGTGCCTCCTTGCCCTTTAGCCAGCCCCACCGAGTCTCCACCGCGCGCCCTTCCCTGCACGCTGCCTGGCGCAGGGCCTGCCCGATGCACTGGCAGCCCAGCAGGGGCCGAATAAAGGGCTGACTCAATAAATCACGAGGAGTTTATTTTAGCTGATTCCCAGTGAAAAGGCTCGGTGCGGCCAGGCAGGCTCTGTGGTTTGATCTCACCATGACCTCATCTGCAGACTGGGACACAGATTTGGGTCGTTCAGAGGAAGAAGCGTGTGGCTTCAGTGTTGAAGGCTCTTGGGTAAGAATGTGAGAGCCATTGTGTAGCTCCTGTGATCATGTGAAAGAAGCGTGGGATTTCCACATCCATTGTAAGGAGAAAGTGGAATGTGTTGTGTTCATAAACAAGTAGATAGCTGTGTTCTGACAGGAAGTTTCCAGCGTTCCGTATATGGATTAATATTCAGCACAGGATCCGGCTTTCATTTCATCTTCTTGTATAGACTTGTTCTTTTTTAATGTGTTTCACATCTGCGATTCCTCTCAGAATTGAAGTTCTTTTTTTCTTTTTTGCCCCCCACAGCTGCTGTAGTTAGCCTGGGAAGAAAAAGTTTCAAAAGATCATCCTAAAATTAATGAAGTCACTCAGTCTACACTTTACCTACATGGGAATGGCCTCTCACTCCGTCAGAGTTCCCAATCTCTGGTTTCTTGTTCCTTTCTTTTCTTTTGGCACAGTAATTACAAAATACTTGATTGAATAAAATAAATAAAACATTATTTTGGCGAATTACATTTTCTTAGGATATGCTCAAGCTTACCTTAAAGACACTGTTCCAGGAAACTCTAACTCAGTAACATTTAGATCTTCTGTTTTCTTGTTCCTGCCTTCTTTGAGCTGATATTCTAGATAACTATTAAGAAAAATGACAGTAAGAATAGGTCAGTATTGCAGTAGGAAAAACATGATATGTGTATAGGGGGCAATAGGATTGCAAAGATATACTTAATGTAGACACAAACAATAACGTCTGTGTCACCCTCATCAGAGGCGTGACAGTGCTGAAAACATGACCTTTTAAAATCAGAGCCAGCTTGAGCTGTAGAGCAAAGAGCACGCGGAGCACACTTGCCGGGAGGAAGGACAGATCTGTGCTGACTCAGCACTGAGTTCTCGTTCCTGCGTGGCCCGCAGCAGGGGTCCTCCCTACCTGAGGATTTCCAAGTTGATGTTCACTTTCTCCATTGCTGGTCGGGCCGTGAGCACCACAGTCAAGGCCTTTGCCGGTGAGGACAGCAGGTGGCCAGATCTGGCAGTGGTGGTTTCCATTTGACTTCTGTCTCCCGAAGGTGGTCTGCCTTCCTGTATGGTTTCTCCTGCTCTTCGGTTCTAGACATTTTTTTTCCCTTCCTTGGAGATGAGGACACCTGGGTTCTTCCCCGGGGCAGGATTGTCGGTGTCGTTAGGCACAGCCTGTCCCTGGCCTCTGGGCTGCCCCAGCGCCGCCAGCACCCGCATGTTCTGTTCTGTTCTGTTCTTCCTTTAGACATCTCCACAGGTCCCGCTTGGTTACATCAGGGACTTCTGCTGAACTCCACCCAGGCCGTCTCCAGCTTGGACCTGACCCCCGGGGCCGCCTTGCCGCAGTCGAGGTGAGTGTCTCGTGCCAGGTGCCAGGGTCCAGCCAGGGCTGTGTCGCCGGTGCCGCCCCCTTCCTGTTGCGATGCCCGCGTTGCGCACCACTGTTCACGCCGCGTTCGTAAACCTGTGTGTTTCTGATTGTTTGCTAGCGTGAGCCAGGGCTTGTGCTTGGATGCTGAAGTGGCCTTGGCGACCGGGCAGCTGCTCGCCCCCCACAGCCAGCAGTCCAGCAGCGCCGCCTCTCACTGCTCCGAATCCCGAGGGGAGACCCCCTGCTCCTTCAACGACGAAGATGAGGAAGACGACGAGGAGGATTCCTCCTCCCCCGAATAAAGACAGGAGAAAACCCGCGTTTTTAATCTGCGATGCTCATGTGTGTTTTTAGTGTGAGCTCTTGTTTCTGGAATGATTGCTTCAGTCTTTGCCATTGTTTGCACTGTGTGTGCAGTGACAGCTAGAGAAACACGATAAGCGAACCCCACGGAGGCCGGGATGCTTGAAACGACTGCTGACGCGGCGTGGCCACCTGCTCCTCTGCCCAGCGCCCAGGGCAGTGGGTGCCAGGGCAGCTCCAGCCTGTCCGGCGAGCCGGCAGAGGGGCAGACCGGGCAGACCCCACAGAAGTGGCAGGCGAAGGGGGCGCCTGCCTTCTGTGAGGAGGGGCTGCTGTGTGCCCCCTCCCCCATGCCCGGGGACTCCTTGTCAGAGTTGAGCTTGCTGGGGAGCCCTTGCTGCCCCTGTTTCTCTCGCCTTCCCGCCTGGCGGCCCGCAGCAGAAGGAGACAGTGCGGTGCCGGGAGGGTGCAGACGGCAGTCCCTGTGGCCTCGGGAGCACAGGCCGCGCTGCTGAACTAGGGAGAGTAGCCGAGGTGCTTGACGCATCCGCTGCCTTAGCCAGCTTCTAGAAAGGAGCGCGCGCTGATTCTTAAGTACTTAAGTGACATTTAGCATAATTTATAGTGAAATAAATGACCATTATTAGCCAATGCATTGGTGCATAGAATTGAGTAGGGCTACTTCTGGGAGCCACAATAGAACAGCATTTCCACGTGCATTAAACACTGCCAGCACTGCCTTTCGCCAGCTTTCTAGATCCAGAGCTTTCCAGGGCAGGAAGCTGCACCTGCAGTTTTCACCAGAGCTGTGCCTTTCGTACAGCTTCTCCATTCGGAGCAGAAGGAAGGAGCAGATCCCCCGAGTGGGCCGCTTGCCTCCAGTCCCTGCGGCAGTTCTGTGGGTTCCACCAGCGTGCGCTCTGTGAGAACGAACCAAATGTCCCGACTGTTGTCCTAAAGTCTATTGCAAGAATATGAACAGCAGCGTGTTCGTGTACTTGTCACCTTTCTTTCCCATTTCCACTCTTCACAAGGACCTTACTAGATTTAGCCCCGGGAAAATCGCATTTTGAAGCAGCCGGATGCGGGGTGTTTGCGTGGAGGACGGTGAGCACCGTGGGTGATTGGCCACTTCGCCGTGTGGTTTCTTAACGCTGTGTCTTCGCCAAAGATGCCTGCGGGCAGTCGGTGCTCCGGTGCTGCTGCGGCACGGAGCCCTGTCCCTCTGAGCAGAGGGGAGTGGGGGTGGCTTGGCTTCACGTTACCACCTTGAAGAGGAGCCCTGAGAGCCGGGAGGCTCACCCTGAGTTTTGCTGGAGTCAGGGATTTGCCCTGAGGTTGTACTTGGGCGCTGTGCTGGGCCCAGATTGCTTCTTTCCTGTCTCCCATGTGCAGGTGCGGGCTCTGTGCTGCAGTGCCTTCCTAGAGCCCCACCTCTGTGCCCCAAGTGGCCTGCAGGTGACCGCCTGTCACCTTTTAACCAGGCCACCCCAACTGACAACCGGCGTGTGTAAGTTCAGAAATTAATGAGCCTCAGCGCAGACTCAGCGTGGCAGGGGCCTGGAAGGTAGCGGCCGTCGTTGGCGCCTCCAGTCTCGGCCTGGGTTCTGAGCCCAGGCCGTGCCAGCAGGGCCTGCAATGCTGCCCTGGAGTCTGAGCCGCAGGAAAATGGGACTAAATTCCAGCCCTGCCTTCCCTAACCACAGCCTTTCTCATCCCCGCGCTTGGGGGTCCCCGCAGTGCCCTGGGGAGACCAACAGCCACAGCTTCCTGTTCTGTCTGTGAAACGTGGAGCCGCAGATGCCCAACCATGTCAGAATGTGAGATGCGTGCGTAGACGGTAGCGCTGCTCCGGCCCCTGGCCGAGTCCTTGCTGGAGGGCCGAGGCCGCTCCCCGTCTGCCTTCTCCCCTCTCTGCCCTCTGGCTCTGCCCTAGAGTGCTGTGCGCTCCATCCAGTGCGCGCTTCCAAAGGGTAGGCGGCGGGAGGCTCTGCCACGTGGTGGGGCCCCAGCCGTGGAGGCGTGGTGTGGGTGGAAGTGGCCTCCGCCCTCAGGGATACGTGGGGGTCGCTGCTGAGGGCCCCTGGCAGGGTACCACCACCAAGGCCACCCCGCCTCGTGCTGGTGTGAAACCTCCCTGGAAAAAACAAGGCAAGGAGGCTCAGGCCAGGCCCCGCGGTGGCGCCGTGTCTCCCTAGGCGTGCTCCTCGCGGTCTGAGTGAGGACCTTGTGGTCACGAGCTCCAGCTTCCCAGGTAGGAATAGCCCTCAGGCTCCGTGCGGACCCACAAAGCCCCCACCCACCCCAGGGGCGGGTCGCGCCACTCGGCCTCTCGCCCCTCTCAGCACACACGCAGGAGGTGCCCGGGCCTGTGTGTTTGACCCTTAGTGCCAGGGCAGTGCTGCCCCCTACCCCCAGTGCCTGCCGGCCTCCCTGCAGCGTCCCCTGTGGCCAGAGCGGTGTCAGGGAATGTACACCTTGTGCCTTAAGGTCACCGAGGGCCTGGGACAGGGCAGGAGGGGAGGGGCTGGCACAGGCAGCCATACCACTGCCCTGAGCACCCTGGACGGTGACTGCGTGTTCCGCATGCCCCAAACAGGCAGCGGGACACCTTCAGAGCTCTGCTGTTTGACCAGGGGACGTCGTCACTGTGCACATTGGGCAAGTCAGCCCCGCAGACACCTTGGACTCTGCCCGTCGCCGAACCCAGACTCTGTGGCTGTTTGGGTCATGGGGCGTGGTCAGACTGGGTGGGCCCGTGGGGGAGGGAGGTAGCAGAGGAGACCTGCCTCTGCCATTTCCGCCCCAACCACACCCGGAGAGAGGAGCCTGTGTGGCCTTACAAATGTTTCCTCTCAAGGCCCCTTTACATACCTGTCTCCCTGCGTCCCTGACAGAATGGACTGTCCCCATGACAGCGACCTCAGCCCCGAGCTGCCTTCTGGTGAGTGTGGGTGGGGTAGCGAGTGCAAACGCTGCATGGCTCAGTGAGTACTGGGGAGCCCCCGAGTGGGGGGTGGTAGAGCTGTGAGGGCCATGCCTTCTGCTGGGGACACAGGTGCTCCCAGGCAGCGTGCTGAGTGCCTCGTGCTGCGGGAAACGGGGGCGTGATGTGGCGGTGGGGTGAGGCTGTTCTCGTCGACAAAGGGCCTCTGACAGAGTGACATGGGTTCTGTCTCGGTGCAAACAGATGCGTGTACTGTCTTGAAGAGCCCGCTCTGTTCCATAACACACGCCCATAGAGCCCTGCTATTGCAGGTGCGGGCGCACATTTTGGAGTGTGTTAAGGAACTTGGAAGACTAAAAAAGATACCAAGCCTAGTTACTAGCAGTACCCATAAGTCAGGAGAAGATTCTAGTAAGCCCGTGAGTTTCTTCTCATTACTAGCTTCCTTTTGTTTACACAGCAAAAGTGATTAGTGGTAGAGTTTTTCTACCTGATTTCTAAGTTGGGTACACAGGGACCTGGTTTTGCACTGGTCGAAGATAATCTGCATTCGAGCTGGCTTTAGTGAAGCTAAGAACACAGTTTCCCAAGTGGCTTTCCCATTGTCCTGCACCCCAGGGACTGATGACCGTGAATGGGAATTTTTTGAAGCCCGCTGTGTGAGCCAGGAGCCTGCACACGCTCAGAAGTGTGCATCCCGGCCCTGGTGCAGTCGCCGCCTTGTTCCTCAGCCTTGCACTCAGTCAGATGCCATCCCACACCCAGGAGAGGCCTGGGGTGGGGAGGAGGGTGTTGCCCAAGAGTTTGCCTTTGAAAAAAAAAACAATGCAAGCTGAATGCCCACATGAATTACAACATTCCTCAGGAAACAGCCCCTTTGCTTAACCAAAATATCTACCACCACTTCTGGGATCCATCTTCCCCACATATGTGCTAAGGAAGAAAAAGTGGGGTCCACAAAACCTCCGCCCTGTGGCCGTGCCCCTGGGTCCCTTCCCGGCAAACGTCTGTTCACTGTGGTCCCGGAACAGGAGACGGGCATGTTCACGTGCCATGTGCATTACCCCAGGCAAAGTGTCCTCCCGGAGCCTTGGCGGAAAAGGCCTATTGCATTCAGTGCCACCCTGACCCCTGCTGTCCCAGGAGCCTGGACTTGGCCCTCCCTGCCTGCAGCTGCCTTGGAAGCCAGCATAGCTGAAACATAAAGGGGCAGACTTGCCCCTTCTCCCCTGGCCTCATTGAAGTGTGAAGCAGGCCCAGGGCTGCCTCCCCTGGGAGGGCCAGGTCACCCTGTAGAAGCCATGCTGTCCCTCCAGTCCCTGCATCTGTCCTCGGAGTCACCCGGTGCCAACCGCTGAGGAACACAGCTACAGTGCCAGCCGTGGCCTCCTGACTGAAGTCCCTGGGCTGGGACCCCGCTGGGGAGAAGCGTGCCCCTTCACAGCAGGGAGTGCTTCCATTGGCCAGTGGGTGGGGGGCCCATGGGGTGGAGTGGCCAGCTGACCCTTCCCAGGCCAGCCTGGCTTGGGTCGGGGACAAGTGTGAACCCTGAAAGGAAACGCCCCCAGTCGTGTGCCACTTTGTCATGCTCCACCGTAGACACCTGCTGTCCGTGCTGGGCATCATCAGATGTGGCCTGGTCATTTCTCCCACGCAGCCTGGGTCTCTGCCAGCCAACTGCTGGGACAAAGCTGCTCTGGCCCCATCACCCTGTGTCCGCTTCAGCCTCTCAGTGTCCTGAGAAACAGCCACCAGCTGTCCCATGGCTGACCAGGAGGCCTCAGGCACTGGGGACCACGTCTCCACTGTCCCCTCCTCCAGGGACCTCCTGGACCTCCCTTGGCTTCTGGACAGAAAAGACACGGCTCTGAGCCCAGATCTCCAGTTTGCTCACCTCTCGTTTGAAGGCCTTTACCCTGACTGTGTGCATTTAAGTTTTCCTTCCAGAAAATACAGTTCTGCTTTTTCTGCATGGTGGTGCCGTGTGCTTTCAGCAATTTAAGAGGAAAATGCATCCACCACGTTTGACTTGCCTAGCATAGACTCTGTTAGACTGAAGTTCCTAGCCAACATGTTATATTATTTTGTAGTATCTCAAACTTTGTAGATAAATTCCATTATTTTTATATATGAAAATTTTATAGAAGAGCTATTTCTGTATACTTAATTATTCCTGGGTGTTCCGACATCACTCCCAATGGATAAGGTACCAGACCTGAGCACGCACGCCCTCCTGGGCTATTTCCGGAACCACCTGCAGTGGAATGGACTGTGGGGTCTCCAGCCTGGGCCTTCCAGGGACCCCTGCAGACACTGGATCGTGGAGCCCGGGAAGCTGTGGGTTTAGTCAGAGGACGCATGGTTCTGTCTTACAAAGCATATCTCTGTCCAGCCTGGAAGACTGAAAGGAGGAAAGAAAAAGCATCTGAAATGAGTGTACACTGTGCTTGAGAAAAAAATGTATCAGACTGTTCTGTGATTTGAATGATATGTACTATACAAAAGAGTAAAAGATTTAAAATAATGCCGGTCTCATTATTAGCAGGCTGTCGGGGGGCAGATGCTGTGGTGCCCACCCCTATTTAGGACCGAGACCCCTTCCCCAGCCTCGTCTCCCTAGGAATAACCCCCAGACAGGCCCTGCCCCGCAGCCCCAGGTGGCCGAAGGGGGCCCCCACTTTCGGGCAGCTGCGTCCCCTGCAGCCTGGCTCAGCTCCCTGCACACCATCCCACCTCCCCCACCGGCTGCGTGGTGGTCCAGAGCATTCCCCGGTGTGCGCCACCTGCCCCCCTGTGCCGGGCATATACGTCAGGTATTTAACACTGTTCTTTCTCGGTCCTGCACGAAGCTGACGAGGAAAATGGACTTAAAAGAGCATGCGTTATTTTGGTGCAGGAGTTCTTGAAATCCATGCATGGTTTTTTCATAATTGTATTTTCCACATTTTGTGGGAGAAAAAAATTTGCAACAACAACAAAAATCCCCTCGTAATTTTAATTCGATTTTTCCGTGAACTTTCTCAAGTACCTTCGTGTG